TTGGTATAATTGGTTAAAAATCAGAAATATACAAAAAATATAGGGAAATATTACCGATTTAAATATATATATATATAATAAAAAATGTTATTAGATTAAGGAGAGGTGAAGGAATATATCATAAGTAGAATTGTAGAACGTCACTCTGAAAAAATGCTTAAGAAGAAATTACACTCTTTTTGTGTATATGTTGTATAAATGTTTGTTGTGTATATGTTACGTATGTCTTTTTAAAAATATTTATATTCAATAAAAACTACTTTAAAAAAAAACAAAATAAATCCACTAGGCAAATGTAAATACACAATACAAGAGATTTCATGAGACAAGAAAAGTCCAGAATTCACAAGGCATGATCCAAAGCAAGACAAGAATCACAATGACCAGAAAACACACTGTTAGGAAATGAACACGTTGTTCCCAGCATCACTTCCATCTGTCTGCTATGCTAAATAGCAAGCTTCTGGTTCAGCCCATCATGAAGCATGAGACAAGTAATCTGCCTGACCTTCTCTGCTCCTGCCTTTTCCCTACCTGTTCTCTAAGTATCTGTTGTTACATTTCCTTCATCTCTAACTGACACATTGCACAGTTGCATTCTTCTGAATGTTTATTCTTTCCTAGGATGAGGATGTATTGCTCCTTAATGGGTGATCCATCACTGTAGAACTTGGCTTAGGCCCAGGATATTTGTCGGACCATCTGCAACCAGCAACAGCTTCCCATCGCCCGGTGCGTTCTCACAGGGAGGGCCTACTCAGGGTGCCGTCGGCTAGACAATGTCGGCTGGCAGCCCCCAGAGGTAGAGCTTTCTCTGTGGGCGCGCCCACCCTTTGGAATCAACTCCCTCTGGGGCTCCGGTTGGCCCCTGACCTTTGCACCTTCCTCCGCGAACTAAAGACATGGCTGTTTAAATCACCCAGCCTGGACTGATGGGGTTTGATTATTTTAATGAGTTTTAACATATGTTTAATTTGTATTTTAATATGTTTTTATCTGGTTTGATTTTAATGGTTGTGAGCTGCCCTGAGTCCTATGGAGATAAGGGGGCATACAAATCAAATTAAATAAATAAATAAATAAACTGCTAATTTGCAAGAATTGGAAGTCCAGTAAAGCCAGTGAAGTAGGTTCACCAGTATAGTAACAATTGGATTCTGGACATTTAGGCATTGAGGCTTGGAATACTTTGTTATCAATTCTCCAGTTTCACTGTTATTTTTAGTTGTAATAACATATTCCTCCTTTTCTTTAATCACAAAGAATACCAGAATTTACAATTAGAAACAAAGTACTAAAGCTTAGCATGTCTGGCCTTGTGAAACTAGTTAACTGAAACCATTATATGACAGTTATTTTGAATTCTTAGATGACATTCAGGATATATGTTTTGTGGTTTTCATAGTATTAGTATTAAGAATAATTTTCAACTTCTAAAATATGGTGACCACACAACTGTCAGCAACTGTGGAGGAAGCAAAGTATCTTGACTCATTTCATATTGGCTTCAGAGTAGACTGTAAAAGTTGAGCCCAATGTGTCCTTCTGATATTCCTTATCTAGTGAACATTATGTTTGTAAATCTTGATGCAAGAATCAATTAGTGATTTATGATGGGTGCACCTGCCTGCTGGGGAGCGGCCAGGCAGCTCATGATTTGGACTCTGACTGGGTAGATTCGGGAGGGAGGATGGAGGCAAGTCTTGAGAATATTATCTGGGAAGAGTTTGATTCTGTGACTCTGGAAAACGTGGACAAGATACTGGGCAGACTAAGCGCGGCCACATGTTTATTGGACCCGTGTCCCTCCTGGCTGGTGCTGGCCTCTCGGGAGGTTACACGAGGCTGGCTCCAGGGGATTATAAATGCTTCCTTGAGAGAGGGTGTCTTCCCTGCTGCCTTGAAGGAGGCGGTGGTGAGGCCTCTCCTCAAGAAGCCTTCTCTGGACCCAGCAGTGTTGGCTAATTACCGTCCAGTCTCCAACCTTCGCTTCATTGCGAAGGTTGTTGAGAGTGTGGTAGCGCGACAGCTTCCTCAGTACTTGGATGAATCGGCTTATCTAGATCCGTTCCAGTCGGGCTTCAGGCCTGGATACAGCACGGAAACGGCATTGGTCGCATTGGTAGATGATCTCTGGAGGGCCCGGGACAGGGGTTGCTCCTCTATCCTGGTCCTATTAGACCTCTCAGCAGCTTTTGATACCATCGACCATGGTATCATGCTGCACCGGTTGGAAGAGTTAGGGGTGGGAGGCACCGTGTTGCGGTGGTTCTCCTCCTTTCTATCTGATCGGTCCCAGTCTGTGTTGACAGGGGGGCAGAGGTTGACCCCGAGGCCCCTTGTATGTGGGGTGCCACAGGGGTCGGTTCTCTCACCCCTTCTGTTCAACATTTATGTGAAGCCGCTGGGTGAGATCATCCGTGGTTTTGGGGTGAAGTATCATCAGTATGCTGATGATACTCAGCTATACATCTCCACCCCGGACCACCCCAATGATGCCCTTAAAGTGATGTCCCAGTGCCTGGAGGCTGTACGGATCTGGATGGGGAGGAACAGACTCAGGCTCAACCCATCCAAGACCGAGTGGCTGTGGTTTCCGACGTCCCGATATAGTCAATTGGTGCCATCACTGACTATTGGGGATGAGTCATTGCCCCCCACGGAGAGGGTTCGCAACTTAGGCGTCCTCTTGGACTCACGGCTGTCTTTAGAAGAACACTTGACAGCTGTGGCCAGGAGGTCTTTTTATCAGGTTCGCCTGATTCGCCAGTTGCGTCCCTTTCTGGATTGGGACTCGTTAAAAACGGTCACTCATGCCCTCGTCACTTCACGCCTGGACTACTGTAATGCTCTCTACATGGGGCTCCCCTTGAAGAGCACCCGGAGGCTCCAGCTGGTCCAGAATGCGGCCGCGCGGGTAGTTATGGGAGCAGCATGGCGCTCCCATGTGGCTCCCCTCCTGCGCGAGCTGCACTGGCTCCCTGTGGTCTTCCGGGTGCGCTTCAAGGTCTTAGTTACCACCTTTAGAGCACTCCATGGCTTAGGACCGGGGTACTTACGAGACCGCCTTCTGCCACCAATAGCCTCTCACCGCCCAGTACGCTCCCATAGAAAGGGGCTTCTCAGGGTGCCGTCAGCCAAACAATGTCGACTGGCGGCCCCCAGGGGGAGAGCCTTTTCTGTGGGGGCACCCACCATCTGGAACGAGCTCCCCCCAGAGATACAGAAGATTCCGGATCTGCGCACTTTCCGCCGTGCCCTCAAAACATTCCTGTTTCAGCAGGCCGGCCTGGCCTAACTTTCCCTTTATATTGCTTTTTGATTTTATTTTAAACTGGGATGTCTTGAATTATCTAGGACCAGAATGTTTAGTATATTTTAATTGGTTTTTTATTATTAACGTTTGTATTACATGTATTTTTATCGTTCGCTGTTCACCGCCCTGAGTCCCTTAGGAATAGGGCGGTATATAAATTTAATAAATAAATAAATAAATAAATAAATGATGGGGCTGAAAATCTCCACCGTAGAGAGTGGTACAAGAAGTGGTGCAAAGAGTAGCACTGCCCCTGCTGGCTGGAGCAAGGTAATGGTGCTGTTGCAGCAAGGTGGGGTGGTGCAGGCACACTGAAGCAGCGGTGGTGATGGCCGGAGCCTTAGTGTGGGAGCAAAGAGCCCCTCTACTTGCCTTTGCACGGCAAAAACATTCTGCCTTCAATGCAGTACATTTGCGCTCAAGGCAGCCCTCGCCTCCCGCTGCTTCGGGCTCTGAGCTGTAAGCCGTGTCTGGGAAGCACTGTGGTGGAGAGAAGTAGTCAGGACCTCATCTCTTGTTGGGTCTCGCAGGCACTTCTTCCAGCCCTTGTTAGTGCTGGGCATGCCTTGGTCACTCAGGGAGATGTGCAACCTGCTCTCCACCCCAAGACACTGGCCTGACCCGGCTGCTGCTGTTGCCGCCTCCATGGCCTGCCCACTGCTCTCACACCGCCTTGCACAGCACACTGAAATTTAGCACACTTCACAATGGGGGAAACAGGGTCCCCTCCTCCTCCTGGAGCCCATTATGATGCAGAGCCACAATGCGACCCTGCCCCACTCGCCCATGTCAACAGCAGCGGCATAAGCTGCAGGGCAGACTGGGCCAATGTCTCAGGGCAGAGAGCAGGTCATGCATCTCCCTGAGTGACCGAGGTACGTCCAGCACCAACAAAGGCTGGAAGTAGCCACCCACCATTTCCTGCTGTAGTTTGTCGGGCAGCGAGACCCAGGTAGAGATGAAGCACCAGAGAATCAGAATCAGAGAGACACACACACAGAGAGACAAGGGACACAGAGAGAGATACAGAGAGACACAGAGAGACACAGAGAAAGATAAGGGAGAGAGAGAGAGACAGACAGAGACCCCAAGGGAAACAGAGAGAGACACAGAGAGACACACAGAGAGAAAGAGAGAGACACACAGAGAGACAGGGAGAGAGACAGAGACCTCGAGAGAGACACAGAAAGAGAGAGACACAGAGAGATACAGGGAGAGAGAGAGAGACCTACACACACACACACACACACACACACAGACAAGAGACACAGAGAGAGACAGAGATAGATAGAGACAGAGAGAGACAGAGACAGATGGAGAGACAGAGAGATAGAGACAGAAAGACAGAGATAGAGAGAGACACCCAGAGAGAGACAAAGAGAGAAAGAAAGAAAGAGGGAGACAGAGACAGACAGACAGACAGACACACATACACATACAGAGACTACAAAACTGTATATGAATTGTATTTGCATAAACAAAGGAAAATTCATAAAAGTATTTGGAAATCCATGTTATACAGGAATCTGTAAATACAGCTGCCACATGTAATTGCTTCATTTTCCTAAAATGAGGCCAATGAATTGTTCCTGTAAGTCTTGGCATTATTTGTCTGCATAATTTTTCCCGTTTTTTTATGTGGAACAATTCAATTCTCCTTGGTTATTTTCTTTTTATACATTAGGTCCTGTTACTGAAGTCAAAACAGATATCTATGTCACAAGTTTTGGACCTGTTTCTGATGTAGAAATGGTAAGTATGAGTATGAGTATTATGATAGGTTTGAGGAAGAAAAAAAATAAACCTAGTACTAAGTTTGTGACTAAATGAAGGGCTTTGGGACTCACCTGTTATTCATGCAAAAAAGAACAGATTACCAGCAACTTATTTTCAGGTTTTATTACACATGGCTATGACAGCTTCTATTCTGGTCTTTCCATATTTTTTAAAAAGGAAAAACCTCAAAAAATTGGCATGGTAAAGATGGGGGCTTGACTGAAGTCAATCAAGATATGATGAATACTACAATCTGTTTAATCAAGTGAAATCATCCCATTTGCCTGGGAGGAAAGGCAAGAAATAGCCTGGACACTGATCCTATGTACCAGTTCCTTGATATTTAGTTCAGAAATACACTGAAATTTCCAGTTATACCAGGCATTACTTATATATGTGTAAGCAATTATCTTGCAATAGCAGTTTTAAAAGAATAATAAAGAATGAGCTGAATTTTTTAGAAATTGAATTCTACCCTATGCATTTTTATTTTTATTCCGTTTTATGTAAGATGTTGCAATAGTTGTATAACCATCCCCAGATAAGGAAATAGTGCCCAGAATTATATGATCGACAACCCCCCCCTCCCGACAGATTTTAAGAAAGAGGAAGGTCTTGATCAGGTGTTTGTGGCCACCATCTTGATTTTTTAAAGACTTCTTGCGAATGTCCAGGGCCGGATTTAGATGAAAAGAGGCCCTAGGCTATTCCACTTATGAGGCCCTTTCACCTATAGTGAAAGTGTAATTTTAATTTTGCTAACAATTTGAATGTAGGCCCCTCTTGATCTTGAGGCCCTAGGCTGAAGCCTAGTTAGCCTATAGGAAAATCCGGCCCTGCGAATGTCCCAATGCAGGAATCTTCCCTAATGAGCAGTATGCCTAGATGCTGAGGACCCAGTTAAAACGATTCTGCAAGATTTACAAACTTCCATATGTATCTTACGTATAAATGGTGGTAAAGTTAGAAGACTTACTATTTTTTTTGAAATTTTTCACTTTTTGTTTACCCCAATGGCGTTTTTACTGGTTGCAATTCAATAACATTTCTTTAATTTGTTTGCTATAAGCATACAGTATATTCCTGGTACAAATTTTAATCATTTGTAAAAAACAAAACAAAATAGCATGGAGATAAAATCATTAACATATATTAGTGAATTAATCATTTCTTTTCCAGTCCTGAACAAGTTTAATTACATGCTTCTTGCCATTCTATTAGATTATAGTAATTATTTTGATTTAGTATGTTTAGTAATTTATTTATATAGCTAATGTGGAAAATTAAAGTATTAAGATGTATATAGTTCTATCGAATTGATAGAAATGTGTTTAGGGACTTTATAGATTTCTATCACTGATTTATTCTTGGGGAAATGCATGTACTGTATAACATTGTTTAATTTGCTTCCCAATTATTGTAGGAATATACAATGGATGTTTTCTTTCGTCAGACATGGGTGGACAAGAGATTAAAATATGATGGTCCCATTGAAATTCTAAGATTAAACAACTTGATGGTTAACAAAGTGTGGACCCCAGATACTTTCTTTCGGAATGGAAAAAAATCTGTGTCTCATAATATGACAGCCCCAAATAAACTATTTAGAATTATGAGAAATGGCACCATTCTCTATACAATGAGGTACCTGTTTTATATATTCTGTACATTTACATGATTTATTAATTGCTGATGTACTATTCTATGTCAGGACTAATTTTATATGGTTCCTATAGGCTCACCATAAGTGCTGAGTGTCCCATGAGATTGGTGGATTTCCCAATGGATGGACATGCCTGTCCGCTAAAATTTGGAAGCTGTAAGTCCCCATTACGACATTTTACTTATGTTATTAAAGGTCCATTTTTGTTCTTGTTGTAAGAAACAGGTCAGTGAATAGCCACAGGCTTGTGTCTTTGTCAAAAAAGAAAGCTGGTGCCCCTGAAAGCAACAGGAATGTTTTCATTGGGTTTTAAGATAAGTTCTTAAGACAAATATCTTGTCCATTATTTTCTTTTCTAAATATATCTTGTTCAGATGCATATCCAAAGAGTGAAATGATCTACACCTGGACAAAAGGGCCAAAAAATTCAGTGGAAGTCCCTGAAGAGTCTTCTAGTTTAGTTCAATATGACCTACTTGGACATACAGCATCTACTGACACAATTAAATCTATCACAGGTAAGATTCATCCATTTAAGGTTTAGATAAACTTGCTTGCTCTTTGCTGGGTAATCCAGTGGTGGGTTGCCCTCGGTTCGGACCGGTATAATTACAGATTGTACAGCTATAGAGACTAATTTGATTCTGAACTTAATAACTGCAGCAAGACTCTTGGTGGCGCAGTACTGGAAGAAGGAAGATTTACCTACTATTCAAGAATGGACATTATAAGTAGTAAATTTAGCAGAAATGGCGAAAATTTCTGCATATCTAAAGGACCATTCAAATGAGAAATATATGTTAGAATGGAGAAGATGGATTGATTATATTCAAGGCAAATATCGGACTAAAAAATTTCAAATAGCTTACGAATGATCAAAGAGATTTTATAAAGTACTTAAATTTAGTTTAGTAAAAGGGGAGTTAAAAGTTCAAGAGGGGGATAGGAGCTTATAGATAATTAGCTTATGTTAGCTTATGATTGTCAAATGTTATACCCTGTATTTTGCTCTGGGAAGCGGGGGGGGGGGAGGGGGGAAGGGGAGGGTTGGAAGGGGAGGAGGGAGGGGGAAGGGGAAATGTCTGTAAAACTTTTTAAAACTTTTCAATAATAAAAAAAAAAGAACCGGCTCCACCCACTGACCCGGACATCATCATAGGTGATCTGCGCATGTGGGCGCGATGCGAACCGGTAGTAAAGGTAAGTAGAACTCATCCCTTGGGTAATCCTTTATGAGGCAAAGTGAAAATGGTTGAAAAGGCAATTAAAAACATGGGAGTTTGCTGCAAGTGACATGTTTCATAACTGCATGTTTGTTAATACTAATCATTAGTTGTGACTTATCGTACAATAAAAACCTGCAGATGGTCCAAATAAATTCATATTAAAAAGCTGCTAGAGCTTTTTATATATATTTTATATAAAATATATATATATAGTTTTATATATATAAACAGTAACATTTATTACTGTTTGAGACAGTTTTTAAATTCATGTTATATGAAGATTTTAATCCTGTACTGTAACTCAGGACAGAATTGGGTAGTGGAGGGAGCAGATGTAGCTGACATATTTTTGAATGGTATTATTGATAGAAAGAGGAAGCAATTTCATAATGAATTGGAAATTATCAGTCAGTGAGACACTATTGATCCCTTACTGATTCACTCAGAAAGACTTTATACAAAGAAGTTATCAAGGGATAACAATAAAATCTTCGCACATTTTCTATTCAGTATTTGAGGCTCTTTAAGAACAATTTTCTAACCCAGTGCCTTTAAATTTGCATCCTATTAAATTAAGTTTCAATAGCAGCCAATATTGGAATAATTATTTCATGCAAGAAATTTTAACTATATAGAATTAAATTAAAAAGTAAATTAATTTTTCATTGATGTACCTTGATAAGAATTGAGTAAATTTGTCATTTGGAACACTGAACCTGAAATACAAGTTGCGTTGAAGAAAATATTTGCTTGTGGAGACACAAGTATCACCCAGACATTTGATAGCACCCTTTCATCAATTTGTATTTTTTCTTACAAGTCTTTCTTGCTTTCTTAGCCAAAAAGAACAAATTACCCATATCAATAAGGAAACTCCAATAATAATAATAATAAAAAAAATCCCTTTGGCGGAAAAATAAAACTGACTATGTAGCTAACTTCAAAAACCGATATAAAATCTTATGCCACCAAACAAAAACAGAATGTACCAATTACAGAATGTACATTCAGGAGGAAGAGTTGTTACACACAAAATCCAATCATGCCTTCTATAATTTCGTAAATGCCAAACTTAAAGACTCAAAAACCATCCTACCTCTAAAAGGGCAAAATGGTGAAGATTGTAATGATGATGCCATTAAGGCTAATCTCTTCAATACTTTTTTCAGTTCAGTCTTTGTCAACGGCAATGGCATCTTCCCCTCATTTCCTAGTCATACCACAACCAATTGCAATGATCTAATCCACATTGATTTTACTGAAGATACCGTCAAAGGGCACTACACAAACTAAAGCCATCTCTATCTATTGGTCGTGATGGAATATGTGCCAACTTTCCAAAAAAGCCTTCCTCTGCCATAGCTGAACCTCTAAGCACCATCTATGAAGTATCTTAGAATGAGCTCCTTGCCTGACATATGGTCATTAGCAACAGTCATACCTATCTTCAAAAAAGGTGACCCCGGCCTTGCTGAAAATTATAGACCAATCTCCCTTTGCTGCATCACTGTAAAGTCATGGAATCCATCATAAACCAATCCATCACCCTCCACTTAGGGACAATAACCTACTCTCTAATAAGCAATTTGGTTTCAGGAAAAATTTGTCATGTAATCTGCAACTCATACACTGCAAAAACATTTGGACCTCTCAATTCGACCAGGGTAAAGCAATAGATGCAATCTACATAGACTTCTGCAAAACCTTTGATTCAGTGGTATATGACAAACTTCTGTTAAAACTAAGTTCTTACGGCATTTCTGGATCTTTGCACAAGTGGATAGCTACATTCCTCTCAAACAGGCAACAAGTAGTTAAAATTGGAAAAGCTATATCAAACCCTGCACCAGTTAACAATGGTGTTCCCCAAGGCAGTGTTCTAGAACCAACACTCTTTCTGCTCTATATAAGCGACCTTTGTGATCATTTTACAAGCAGCTGCATCCTCTTTGCCGACTATATAAAACTATTTAACACCACAGACAATTCTACTACCCTACAAAATGACCTTGATTATGTATCTGAATGGTCAAACAATTGGCAACTCCAAATCTTTGCTAATAAATGCTCAGTCTTGCACATTGGTAATAAAAATCAGAACATCAAATACAAGCTGGGCGGAAACGATCTAAAAGATGACCCACACTTTGTCAAGGACCTTTGTCAAGGCACTAAGAGTTGTCAACCTTATTTTACAAAGTTTTCTCTCTCGTAACGCTATACTTCTAACTAGGGCATACAAAACCTTTGCCAGACCTATTCTTGAATACTGCTCACCCACCTGGAACCCACACTGTATTTCGGACATTAATACATTAGAGAGGGTCCAGAGGTTTTTTACAAGAAGAGTACTCAACTCCTCTGCTCGCAATAAAATTCCTTATACTACCAGGCTTGAAATTTTAGGCCTGGATAACCTTGAACTATGTCATCTACGTTCTGACCTAAGGTTAGTACGCAAGATTATCTACCATAATGTCCTACCTGTTAATGACTACTTTAACTTCAACTGCAATAACACAAGGGCTATCAATACAGTAGATACAAACTACATGTAAGCTACTCTAATCTTGATTGCAGAAAATACAACTTCAGCAATAGAGTAGTAAATGTCTGGAACACTCTACCTGATCCTGTTCTTAGTTCCTCTAACCCCCATACCTTTTACCTTAAATTGTCTACCGTGAACCTTACATGTTTTTAAGAGGTCCCTAAGGGGGTGTGCATAAGCGCACCAGCGTGCCTTCATCCCTGTCATACTGTCCCCATTTATATGTACTCATTTTTTGTGTTTATGGCTATGTTTTGCTTATTTATATCCATTTATTTTGCCAATTTTCATGTGCCCATGTCTATGTCTATGTCTATACTGATATTTGTTTCCTTGTACTTGTTGTACTTGTTGACAAATAATTAAATAAAAAATAAATAAATAAATAACAGGGGGGTGAGAGACCATTCCACTTTTTTAAGAAATAGAAATATACCTTACCTAGATTGATTCATTTATTCTCTATTGTGAAAAAATCTTATTTGTCATTTGGAATACTGAACCTGAAATACAAGTTGCGTCGAAGAAAATACTTGTTTGTGGAGACACAGGTATCACCCAGACATTTATTTGATATCACCCTTTCATCATTTTTTTTCCCTACAAGCCTTTCCTGCTTTCTTGCTGTGTGTGTGTGTGTGTGTGTGTATGTAACATAATACTAGGATGTAATATAAGATCAAGAGAATCTTCTGCACTGTGATGACTTCCATGCAATTCCTTGTATGGATTCTGTGCTGATGCAAACCAGCTTCAGCAGTAGGTGCTCTAGGTTTGTGCAGGATCTGTGCAGATTTCTCAGGAGCCTCCCTAACTCTGTCAATGGCCTTGTCAATGCTTCCTTGATAGCAATGGCAAATAGCAGTAATTACTCCATCGTGTACCAAAGAAGTAATGTAGAAAGAGTAGCTAGATGTATCCAACTATCTGTGAGGGATTATGGAAGATTAGGAAAAGAATGGAAGGTATATAAAATATGAAGAGATGATTGGCGAGGCAATTGACAACTTAAATGGCAACTCAGCCCAGGTGGGAAGTGTCAGTATATAAGGGTTCATGAATTGGAATAGACATGGTAACAGATCAGCCAATGGAGACTGTTTGATGACCCAGATGGCCTGGGCTTAGGTTCACTGACCTGTACAAGTGCTTCTGTAATTCTATAGCTTCTGTGATAATTGATTCTGTACTTCTGGATTCTGAGTTTTGGTTCGGTATGGTATTGTATATAAAGAAGTTTCTTATATAAATGAATCCTGCGGAATTATTTACTTGTTTGCTGGTTGGATTGCTGCAAACTCTAACAGGAAGAAATCTAGGCAGAAACAATGCAAAATATTCAAAATACTCTACCTTTATTATCTCATTATAAACGTGGCTGGGAGATTTTACCTATATTTTCCAAGATTTTGTATTTCTCCAGATGAGCATTAAAGAGTTTGTTGAAGTCTGTGTAGTTTTTGCTGTCTTGAACTTGCTCAGTTGCATGATGTTCAGTACTCTCACAATTTGGACAATGAGGCAAAAAAAGAATATGATGGATCCAAATTATACATCAGAGACATACAATCTAATTAGCTGTGTTGATGGACAAGTCAAAATAAAAACATGTAGAGAAGAATTTGTATTGGGAGGGGCAACCTTTTGATAGCCAGCAATTGTGCTCTACTGTTTATTGCGGGGGGGGGAGATATCAATAGGTCACATGAAAGTTGGGATGGTTCTGAGATATGATATGGCT